TGGCATTTTTCTCCGCAATTCTCTCCGCATTCCTGGCACTTTCATTGCTCGTCATAAAGTTCCTGACACTCCGCACAAAGTTGCATTATTTGCTCCTGCTGGCCTTGAGTCTCGGTTATCTCAAATTCTCAACTCTTAACTTGACACTTCTCACACTTATCCTCATCTCTCTCTCTCTCTCTCTCTTCATTAATAAAGTTGCTTGTTGGCATATTTTTTATTTTTTGTAACTCTCATTTATTTTCGGGTTAACTTTTTTTGGTTAACCTTAGGCGGCTCATGGTTAACAAATCGCAGGTTAACGGTTAACAAAAATCCGTTAACCAGGGTTAACCACCAACTATAAAATAATAATAATTATGCCTTACAAAGATATTAACCAACAACGGGAGAAATCTCGTTTAGCCATGCGAAAACTCCGAGCCAAGCAAAAAGGATTAACACCGGAGGAAATAACTCGGTTAACCACGGACGGGTTAACCAAACCCAAACGGGTTAACAGGGTTAACAAAAGAGGGTTAACTAGCCCAAGTAATCCCCAACTCAACTCGCAATTTTTTACTAATTTAGTTAGGGAAGTTCAGAGCGAAATTCAGCAAACACAACAAAACTTTTTGACCGCAATGGAAAACTTAATCCGCCAGGAGTTAGGCAAATTTTCGCCCCCATCAGGGCTAAAAACCCCCAAGCCAACTCCTGCTCGCCCGAAGTCTGCTGCCTCTCCGGAAAAGATAAAAGTTGATATTGCGGCCTTAGAAAAAAGCACCGGCTTAAAAAGCGATTGGCGACGCAATTCGCCGTGACGAAAAGCCTGAAAAACCGAATACAATCGCCTTTATAACCAATTAGCCACTACGGTAAAAAAAAGACAGTTGTCCCGAGCGAAAAATAAAAAGTAATAAAACCTTATGCGAGAAATAATAATAATCGAAACACAAAACGGGAGAAAAATAAAAGAGTATTTGGAGAGGGAACAAGAAATTTATCGGGCTTTTCGAGAGGAGGAAAATGAGGAGGAAATTTATCGTCGCGATATGCGTTTGGCTAATCAGGACCAGGAACGACAAAAAGAAATAGAGTTTTGGGATAAAGTTCAAAATCAGGATAATACTGAACTAAAAGAAAATGACGATGAATGAGACTGAGATTAAACCAAAATACGGAGAAGTTTATAAATGTGCTTTTTATGAGGAAACGGTGGGAACCGAAATTAAAGGTTTTCGTCCGGTTTTGGTTATTTCGGCCCAATGATATAACGAAGAAAGTAAGAGAATTACAGTTGTGCCTCTAACCCGAGCTTTTAATCGCGAAGGCAAACCCAAGCGTGTTTATGTTTGGGAATTGAGAGTGCGAGTGGATAACCAAGCAGGAAAAATTATGACCGACCAAATTCATAATATCGATAAGCGGAGATTGCAGAAGAAAATTGGAGAGTTAACTCCCAAACAAATGGAGGAAGTAATGAAAAAATTACGAATACTTATTACTTTTTTCCCTACGCAGATAAAAGCCAAACTCTAACCCTTATTTTTTCTAAAAAAATATTACTATCCTGTTCGCCCATTGCGTAAAACTAAACTATGACCACTTTCCCTAGTCGCCGCAACCCGATCATTCTTTCCCCCAACCGCGAACAATCTCGCCGAACATTAAGCGAATTAAGCCAACAAATAGAAAGGGGCGAATTAAAATCCCAACGACTAAACAAACCAGACAAAATACCGGCTTTGCCCTTTCTTTGAGACGAGGATATTGTTTACCATTCCTGGTGCTTCACTTGCTTGGCTTTTATCAGCGAAGCCTTGCGGCATTTTATCATCAAAAATCGCCACGATGCTCGTTTTTGAGGTTTGGCGGAAAAAAAAGCCTTGTGTGGCAATTGCCTGGCCCAACGACTAGACGAAATGCCCGTCCGCAAACGCTACTTATGAAAAGAATACCAAAAACGAGGTTACTGGCAACTACCGTAAATTTCCCTACTCATACCCCCGCTTTAAATACTTATTCAGCATCTTTCTTTTTTCCGCCACTAACTTTCAAAAGTATTTTTTTTTCAAACAAACCAAACACAATATCTTATAAGCAATGGTTAACCCCCAAAAGCTCGGATTGTTGCGGTTTTTAACCACACTCTTTTTGCGGGCAGCTTGTAACTCTTTCCCGCACAAATAACAATTAGCCAAATCATAAGCCCGATTAGGGACTACCCGCTCTCT